AAATACATCGGTATATCGGTTTGCTTTGCCGTGGCGTATTGTGGCGTGTTGTGCGTACCCATGTCATGGAAGAGGGGAACCCAGGTGAATGTCCTGACGTTGTGGCCCAGGACCTCACGCGACAGACGGTGACGCAAAACCCAGAACTCCATCATCTTGTCCAAATCGTAGCTGGAGGCCGACAGCCCCCTGGATGTGTCGCTACGGGAGCTGCCCCCACCCGCACTGTTGCCGAGGGCGACAGATATGGACGAGAGGGACGTGCCGTGCGCCGGTGTGGGGGGCTTCCGGACGCTATAGTGGTCGAATCTCGAATCGAAGCCGAACTTCTTGACGATGAGATGAATGTTGTGCAGCAGGTTGCCGTGGGAGACCTGCACGCCCCGTGGATGGCTCGTCATCGTGCCCGATGTGAACTGCAGCACCGCCAGACTCCTCGCCTCCAGGAATGGGGGCTTGAAGGGCACCGCCGACGGCGAGATGTCGTCTTCTTCCTCGCTGGCGCCTTCCCTCCCTGCTGAGCTGGACGAGTCTGTCTGGACCGCCAGGGTCTTGCGCCTCTTCTTGATCATCTCGTTGGTGTCGATCCACCGCACGGCCTTCCAGTCCCGACTGTACTCCTCCTGGCGGTCAGCAGCCGAGGGGGCAGCCGCCTGACGCCCCTTGTCGCTGGCGGGGGGCAGGCTGGCGCTGCGGCTGCTGCTCGTCCGTTTGGTGGACGAGGGCTTGTGGATGACGCGGCTGAACTTGAGCTTGAGATTGATGGACTGCACCACACGATGATAGGCCCCGTTAGTGAGGACCGCCTTGCTGCCCGTCTCCTGCATGATCCTCATGAAGCGAGGAAGGTCGCTCTCAAACTTTGACGCATCTGACACACACAGACCAACGCAAAGGTGGATGAATGAATGAATGAATGAATGACGCTCGCATCTGGTGAGCACGGCCGATTGATTGGATTGTCTGTCTGTCTGTCTGTCTGTCAATCTGCCTCACCTGGAGGACACACTGGGACGGCAACGACACCTGCATACACCAAACACAAGCAAACCGTCACACACACATTCATTCATTCATTCACTCACTCATTCACTCATTGATTGATTGACTCACCTGCATAGAGGCAGCCGACGAAGGCCACCACGAAGTCGATGCCCGATGGGTAACACAGCATCACTCGGTCACCCTTCTGCACACCGATGCCCTTGCCCGTCGCAGCGTGATGCTTGGTCAGCTGCGACGCCACCAGGGCGGCCTGTCGGTGGAGGTCGCCATACGACAGCTGCGACTGGACGCCTCCCTCCGCGTTGAGCATGGTCACAGCTATCTCGTCAGGCTGATACCTCGCCCACGTGGCCAGAATCCGATACAGCACGTGCCCGTGGGTGTGGGTGACGGTCTTGGTCTCCACCCTGCTCTGCACCACATGTGGTGGAGTGGGCGGCTGCGATGGCGCCAAGGCGGCGGCAGACGTGCTAGCACTCGATGCCACGAGGCCCATGTCCTCAAATGTGAGGTCGCAAGTGCGGTAGTGGTTGTAGAGGGCGATGGTGTCGTTGAAGTCGTGGCTGAGGCGCATGCTGCCGATAGAGCTGGATCCGCCGGCACCTTCTTGGTCAGTAGCGGACCCCCGGGCATCTCCTTCGCCCTGGTTGGACAGAAGGGCCCATTTCTCCCCGCTCCCCACCCCCCCTCCCGGCGCCTCAGCTGCCGCACCATCGTGACCACTCGAGATGCGCGAACCGTCACGCTGATCCTTGGGTGACGCCGACTCCATTCTGCTGGCCACCCGCTGCACGCCAAGAGGACTCCGTGAAGGTCTTCAGTAGTCCTCACAAGCAGCACCGGATATGATCAAATCACACAGGCTGAAATCAGCAGGGCAATGCGCCAGCTCCACGCGACCCTCCGGCGACCCTCCACACAATGAGAGGACGATAGATAAAGGAACACACACAGGTCAGTCAACCCAAGTCAGTCACGGTGCCTCAATTAGATGAATAAAACTGCCTGTCCCGTCTCAGGGCGTCTTTGCGCCATTACTGGATCCGCCAAGCAGAGACAGGCAGTCAGATACCGAAGGGTAGAGACCTTCGAGCTCGCACGCACACTGCGCGTGAAACGAAATTCCGCAATGCACAACGGCGCATGCCCTTCCGGGATGCGCCCTTGTTCCCCCACCTGTCGCGGCAACCGGTATCGGGAGGGAGTGGCGTTGGAGCAGGGAGAGATGATATTGGAGCTGGGTGTGGCCGCGGGCGAGGTGAGATGCTCGGCCCACCGTCCCCACACACGTGCACACCTTGTCACTGACCAATGCAGATCGCTCCAGAGGACCAGTGGGACCCTGACGAGTGGGACGAGATGGCCAAGGAGGTCGATAGGCCGGCTGCTGATGATATCAGGGTCCAGGTGAGATCACACACACGCACACACACACACACACACAGGGAGAGGGAGAGAGAGAGAGAGAGGGGGGGGGGGGGGGGGGGGGTGGGGGGGGGG